CAACATTATTAGTAGCCTAAGTTTTAGGTTAGGCTAATAAATAATCTCAACAGCTAGCTGCTCTTAATCAGCCCTCAATAGGGGTGTAGCTCAGCCACCAGCCACAAAAGGCCAACTTGATCGAGCAGTGGGCCACCGCCAGGTGGTGGTGGCCGTAACTAAAAACTAATTTAAATTAGCCAACATTTAATTAATGGAAATCACTTTATGATCTCGCTAATAGCTCATTTATCTTCATTATACATTAATCAGAATTAGTTCTCTAGGTATAATGATTTGGCAATTCTTTTGCATAATGCTGCAAGTATGTCTCCTGAGCTAACATAGGATGCACTTCTATGTGTAGTTAATTGTGTAGTGGCTGCGTTAGTGTAGCTATTTATAGGATGCACTTCTATGTTTAATCTTCTCGCTAGATTCGGCTCGATGACCGCTTGGCTTGTTCTGGTTGATGTCTGGTTGTAATTATCTATTTTTATTCTATAATATCTATGGTTTTGAAAAAAAAAAAAAGAAGAAACGATTATAGTTATATAAAACCCAATTCTGGGATCAATCGATTACAAGATTAGTACTTAAAATGTGTATTTGAGACATAATTTAAAATTAAATTAATTATGTGGTAGCCATCTTTGGTTCTTATTATACTTGAAATTAATTTGAATTGGTTGGCCTCATATTCCTATACTAATAATAATTAATAAATGAGTCAATGATTATGGTAGCATTGGAGATTACAACAATAATGAGCATTAATAAAGTGGGTAATGTGATGATTAATTGAAAAATGGCTTTGCCTTGAAAGTCTGAGACGTAGAGGAAGAAAAGGGTTGAAATGGCTGCCTGTGCCCATAAAATACAAGAAAAACTTTTCTCAATTTCAAAATGACAAATTAAAGTAAAAATCATGATTGGGCAAAAGAGTTGAGATCGCAATTCACACGGTCTCCGTAAAAGGCGTAGTTGCTAAGGAACGCGTGGTCAAAAAACTATCTCATCATTGCGAAGAAATTTTGAATACATATATAGCTAACTGGATTTTTTGTTGTGGCTAATGGTGGAGAGAAATTTTGAATATTGGGGAATTGTGGCTTTGTGGGGTTTGGTTGTTTTCATGTTTTGTGGAAAAACAAAAAAAATAAAGTATGAAAAACGTGGTTCTTGTTTTGAAATGCTCAGTATTGCTTGTACATATATATAGCACTACACTATCACATAATATAAATATGCATTACAATATGTTGCAGTTACAATATGTACAATCTCTTTGTTAATTGATTATTTAATTATTGTTCTTGAATTTATGAAGCCTGAGGTATGTCAGCTTTTTGTTCTTACAACGTGGAGAAAGGGAAAATTTGAAGAGTAATATTTTTAACCATGACATAACAAAATTTCATTAGTTTTACTATTCCAATTAAAAAAATTTTATTAGAAAACTTATATACTATTCCAGTTAAAATGTTTGATTCTATCGTTATAAAGTTGTTAGCAAGTTGAGTAATGCTACTTAGCCAACTTGGATGACATCTTAGATTACAACTCAAGTATAAATGTATTATCAAGAAATTAAAAAATAATGCATTTACACTTGAGTTGTAACCCAAGTTGTAACCCGAGTGGGTTTTATAACATTACTCAATCAAGTTAGTAAATGAGATGAGCTGGGCTCAAGCAATAACGCGTTTTAATCGAACTGAAACACATACAACTGAATTTGTTTTGACGGCTATATCATAGCTCGTTGTAAGCATGGGCGAAGCTACATGTATTAGTAGAGGGGCAATTGTCCCCCCTCAA